TTTATATGGAAAAATTATAAAATTAGATAGTAATCCAAATTCGTTCGTCATAAAAACAGAAAAAGGTAGTATAATTCGGCGTAATCGTTGGCATATTGTCCCTGCTCCTTATAAATGATATATTATGATTTACAGATTTCTTGTAACACAGACCCAATATTCGTTGAAAGTTATAATCAAACTCCCATACATACGAACACGTCTGTTATAAATCATAGTTTAGAATTGCTAGAATTGCCTGAAAATCATGAGGTAGTACAAGTACAAGAAAATTATAACAACGATAACTTAAGTATTATTAATGAAAATACGAATGTTGACCGGAATTTGAATGATGTTGATGACCGAAATTTGAGTGACGCTGATGTTGATCGAGACTTGAATATTGCTGACAATTCGGATGATGTAGGAAATGTTGATATTCCTTTGCGTAAATCCACTCGAATGAGAAAGACACCGGCACGATTCAATACTTGAAAATCATGTTTAATTTTTACGTTTTAATTGTTGCGTTTATTGCGATTTGATATTTAATAAATATACAATGCAAATATTATTATTCTTCGTTAATAAAAAGGGAAAGATGTTGCGTGATCGTACTTTGATGAGATCACGATTGTCATACGTTACTATGGTTACGAGATTATTTAATTGGAAAAAGTTCATCACAGTAAGTCTCACGCTACCAACAACATCTTTCATATTTCTCTTAATTATTGTACTTTATTTATTGTATAATAAATCTACTAATACAACAGTGACTTTGTAATTAACAAACATAAACTTGCGATAATTAGAACTTGTATCACAAAAATTAAACTTTTTTTTCATCAAAGTGCCCTCCTTTATGCTTGATAACAGCTTTGCATATTCTTGGCATCCTTGCGACTAGTTTGTCCAATATGGTTTCTTGGAGATTGTTCCATTCTCTTTGTGAAATTTCCCATAAATTAGTTCCAGAGCTTGGGCAAGATTTTCTCACTGCTCGATCGAGCTCTTCCCATAGCAGTTCGATGGGATTCAAATCAGGCGACTGGACTGGCCATTGCATAACTTTCAATTTTTTTTTCTTTTCTAAATTTGAGAGGTAATTTTTACATAATTTGGATGTATGGTTTGGATCGTTATCTTGCTGAAACACAAATTGTGCTCCCACTAGTCGAATTCCTGATGTTACAGCGTACCTTTGTAGAATGTTTTTGTAACTTTCTTTCTTTAAGATTTCATCAATTTTCACAATATCACCTACTTCTGATCGAGCAAAACAACCCTATACCATAACTAAACCACCACCATGCTTCACACTTGGAACTAAACAATCACTATTATATTTCTCACCAAGCCGTCTTCTTATATACACTCTCCTTCTACTTCCAAAAATTTCAAATTTTAACTCGTTAGACCACAGAACATTTTTCCATTCAGAAATAGTCCAATTTTTATGACTTTTTGCCCACTGTAAGCGTTTCTTTTTATTTACACATCGTAGAAGTGGCTTCTTAACGGCAACTCGACCAAAAAGTCCTTTCTCTCGCAAACGTCTCTTTACCGTACTCACACTCACAGGTTTTTCTAAATGTTTGTTGACATCTGCGGTAAGTTCAGAGGCAGTGGCTTTTCGATTACGCAAACTTGTTCGACAAATGTAACCATCTTCTTTGGCAGTAGTTTTTCTTCTTGGTTTGCGTTGCCTATTTTCGACATTTCCAGATGTACCGAACTTTTTAATATTATAAGCCACTATACGCCTGTCTATTTTCAACTGCTTTGAAATAGCGTGACTACTCATTTGCAGTTCATGAAGGGCAAAGATCTCATTACGTTCACGCACCGACAAATATTTCGATTTTGCCATGTTAACAACACATTACACAAACAGTTGTTCACACTTGAAACGCTCGCGGTCGACTAGTTTGCTTATAATCGTAGAAACAGAAATATTTAAGAAGATACCACATTTCATACGGTTAGCGTTCGTATATAACTTTATTTGTAAACACACCTGAGTATACAGCGTGTTGGGTACCTACTAAATAAGCCTGTGATTACTGGGTGTGAACAGACATACGTATACTCACTATGATTTCCTGTACAATATATATTTTTTCTTGCACCGGCTATAAAACCCGCGATGAAAAATAATTGAAAAACAACGTTCTTGTGAGGAAAAAAAATGGGAACAACAAGTTTTTGAAATCTACAATTTTTATTTTAAAAGAAGACGATTTCACGTTGCAGATGAATATTTTAGTTTTTTTTTTTTTTGACCGACCATAGAAAGATGGATAAAAAAAAATATTTTTTTTTTAACCTGAAAAAATTCTACAGTATTCTACATAAAAAAAGAAACATTTTCTTTCATGTACACTTTTTTCTAGAATGTTTATTAACAAAGTTATAAAAAGTTGACAAAACGTGTCAATTTTCAAGAAAATTTCTCATATACGAGGTGTGTTTAAAAAGTAAGGTGACTTTGTATTTTTAAGAAAAAATATTTATTTATTTATCAATATTTTTGTTGTCCCCTTCAAAGTAATCCCTCTCAGATACAATACACTTATGCCAACGGTTTTTCCAATCCTCAAAGCACTTCTCATAAGCATTTTTCGGTATAGCCTTGAGCTCTTCCAGCGATGCAGTCTTTATCTCTTCAATCGTTGCAAATCTCCGTCCTTTCATAGGTCTCTTTATTTTTGGGAACAAGAAAAAGTCATATGGGGCCAAATCCGGTGAATATGGTGGCTGAGGCATGATTGTGGTGTTGTTTTTGGCCAAAAAATCTCCCACAAGCAAAGATGAGTGAGCAGGGGCATTATCGTGATGCAAAAGCCATGAATTGTTTTTCCACAATTCTGGGCGTTTTCTTCGTATTGCTTTTCGCAAACGGCGCATAACTTCAAGATAATACTGTTGATTGACTGTACGTCCCTATGGTAAGACCTTCTGATGTACCACGCCATGGTAATCCAAGAAAACAGTGAGCAAAACTTTGACATTTGATCGAACTTGGCGTGCTTTTTTCGGTCTTGGCTCATCTGGGCTCTTCCATTGGGACGATTGGACTTTGGTTTCGATATCATAACCATATACCCATGATTCGTCACCATTTATGACCCTTTTGAGTAAATCTGGGTCGTCGTTGACGTCATTCAACAGTTCTTGAGCGATGCTCATGCGACGGTTCTTTTGGTCAAAATTTAGCAATTTCGGAACAAACTTCACTGACACACGTCTCATGCCCAAAACGTTAAAAAAAATTTCGTGGCACGAGCCAAGCGATATACCAACATCCTCAGCAACTTCTCTGATAGTGATTCGACTATTTTCTAGAACAATTTTCTTCACTGCTTGAACGTGCTTGGGCGTCCAGAGCGAGGCTCGTCATTGGCATCTTCCCGGCTATCTTGGAAGAGTTTGTACCACTTGTAAATATTTTTTTTACTCAAAACAGTTTCACCGTATGCCACCGTCAACATTTCAAGTGTTTCGGAGCACTTTATTTTATTTTTTACACAAAATTTGATGCAAATCCTTTGATTCATATTTTTCGATAGCAAGAAATCGCCGAGCACGCAAAACACTTATAACCTTTACACCTCTCACAACCAAACAAAAAATGCTATACAGTTGAAACTTGGTACAGATGTTCGGGAAGAGTGTACCAACATAACAAAACCAAAAAATCGATAAGCGAAAGTACGTTGCCCGTGAAATTTGAAAAGTCACCTTACTTACAAAGACATGACTACATTGAAATGAAAACGAACGAGAACATTTGAATGTTTCCGGTGTTAGTATTTTTCCCGGGCCAACTGTTACAATGTTGTTATTCTACGATAACTTTCAAAGCTTATTGGTGATTACGAGGTGATTCACTGAGAGTCGTTCGGTCGCACTCGCATGCGCTTACACCGAATGTTTACAAACTATTGTCGCGGCGGGCCTTCGCAAGTCAGATTTTAGTTTGTTTTATTTTCTATGTGGCATACGATCAAAATGTGCACAACAACACTTTGATTGTCACCTGGGTCGCGGGTTGGCTGAGCGCAAGGTCAATGTCTAATAGAATCAGCGTTTTGAACGATCACAAACGCTGCAGGTTCTTTTACGTTGGGTGTCATGTAACGGGGTAGTTACCCGTTTTAATTTTTTTATTTTGTTCGACACACAATCGTACCAGAATGCACGCGGCAAAATCGAAATATTCGCGTTTGCTAATCGGAGAGCAGGAGGGAACGGGAATCAGTCAACCAATTTATTACTAATAATGACAATGAATTTCCGTTTCAATTAAATATGAGTTAGTTTATTTTCTGTTAACTCTACAAGATGCTTGGCCCACGTGTTTATATGTATACGGCGCGCGCGACAATAACATGCATCGCTAGGTCGCTCACAGTTCTTTGTTCGCAATGTTAAATCACATACACGCCACCGATTTTTACAGAATCGCCGGTACGAGGGGATAGCAATTAAGCGCGGTCGTTCGTTAGAAATCGCGGTTTTCAGCAGGCCAGCTTACCTTAAATACACGGTCGCACTATCAGGGGGAACAGGTCGTTGCCGCTTCCGATATCTCAGGTCGCCTTCTCTTCACGAAAACGTTTATATTATGGGCGGGTGGTTCCACAGCTTGGTGGTTGGCCTACGATGGCGCTGACGCCACTCCCTTGACACGAGAGGCACGAGGAAACAAACGAAAGCTGAGTTTAGCACTTAATTACTCGTACTGTGTCCTAGTTGAACTGACTCTTCTCTGCATACACCCGGATGGCTAATCCTCGATTGGTTCTCCTACCCTTGCGCGCGTACCATCCCGTCTCGTAATGAGTTCCCGTTTTTCGTTTTTCCCGGGCGGTAGGTGCTGCCCTCGTAGGCAGCACCTCGTTACGGGATTGAGACGATAGCACAAACAAGACGTTTACCGTCACAAATAATGATAATTATAATAATAATTACTTATAATCAATGCATTAATAATATAATTTTTAATTGTAAAGATAGTGATCGAACTGATTAATGACTTGAAATGGAAATCATTTGTCTTTGAAGCAAATACTCACAGTTTATTTCAAAAGCTATTTGTGCAGCAATTTCTTGAAAAATCTTTCTTGAAGAATTTATGCATATTGCCGTCGTCAGGTAAGCATTTTATATTTTCAAATAAAATTAGTTAGATGAAAATATATTGAATAATCTTTAGAATACTGTTCAGAAAATAATTTTTTGAGAAGATTGGGGAGATTAGGTTTCTGATTATAGCACGTTATATTATATAATTAAAAGTAAGAAGTAAAACTTTAAGCCACTATTTTCAAACTATAGATTTTATCCTACAAATATACTTACTTAGATAAATCATTTAAGTTATTTATTTATTAAAATATTTAAGTTATTTATTTATTAAAATATTTAAGTTATTTATTTATTAAAATATTTAAGTTATTTATTTATTAAAATATTTAAGTTATTTATTGCCTGGCTTAGCTTTCTATATATATTCTGACTCAAAGGCATATGTAATCGTAGTTGGAATCAACGTTCGGAGAAAGAAAACGAGTCTCCCCTCTCATGTCGTATGTAATGGATATCTCTGTCAGAAGGCTTTGTGATGTCAATAAAATAGACAGTAAGAAAATGTAATTTTAATAAAAAATTGAATTAAAACATAATAAAATGTTATAATATAGACGATAAGCTATTTGAGAGTATAAAGTGTGTATAGGTAATATGATGTCTATTGTAACGAAGAAAACCAGCGACCGTTCCCGTTTCAGGTAGCTCGCGGCTGTCCGTACAAATTTTTTAAAAGGAAGGAATTCAGAAAACGCGAATGTTCACACAACTAAATTATTCGCCGAACTAAATCGAGATGAGGAGTGATTAGGCGAAACAACAAACACGAGTAAACGAGGAACAAATTTATTTAATAGCAAACTTAACAAATGAACAAACAACATATCAACAAAGAAAACAAACCATACAACAGCAGTTACAACAATATCTCCACTGGCTTGCCTATAGACGACAAATTTTTCACGCTCGCAACGAAGTACGAACCAGTGGCAGGGTTACCTACCGATCCGCCTCCCCTAGCCCTCTTGCGCACAGCAGCAAATTTCAAACACGCCCGTAACAACTCGCCAAGCTATCCGCGTAGTAACGGCACCCGTAACTCTCACACGCTGTGTGAGAACGAGAAAAAATTGAGCACCGACCTCGTCCAACAGATCTGCTACCCTCCGCCATTGTTCTTTAAGCTGATGTTGTTTATTTTGCTGTTATTGTTGTTATGACTGTATGTATAGGTGTTAATGTTGTTGGCGATATTAGTGTAGGTGTTGGTGTTAGTGTTGTTGTCGTTGTTGCTGCTGCCGCCGTGTTCTCTCTCGTTCCGGTCATCTTTCAACCGACGCTCAAATTGCTCGGCAAATTCACCGTTGCGGTAACGACCGCTCACGCGCATACCCGCGTCACCTCGCCGGAACCTCACGCACATCGGTGTCGGTTCACTATTGTTCATGATTGGGTGCGATCCTGTCAATATACGAGTACACAAGAAAAATTCCCGCACACCGGGTGCGTATCCGAAAATCAAAAAACTCGACGGCGAGAGAACGGAAAAACTTCCTTTGTTCGAAGGAAATCGGCGAAGAATAATGGCATGCGTGACGGCCTATGCTATCTCCTACTATACTAGCATCTACTGCCGAAAAATTGGCACAAGTGTGCACTCCCAACATTTTTCTTCTTCTCTATCTCTCTCTCTCTTCTTTCTTCTGTCTCCTTCTCTCTCTCCTTGCTCTTGTTCTACTGCCGCCTGCGCTCTCCTTCGCTGCTCATCTTAACGCTGCACATCAACAAAGAAAAAGTCCAGCATAAATGTGCTCTCAACGCTATTACTCGCAGCTTGGAATGGTACGCAGACCTCGGAGAGAATCTAACAACAAAATATCGGCCATGCCGCGATTCTCCGTCACACGAAAAGTGGTAAGGAGCGATCTTTCTCTCAATCTGTTTGTTTGTCTGTCGATTGGTCTCTCTCTCTCTCTCTCTCTCTCTCTGGTAGGCATCACAGCATCCTTTCAGCGGCCCTTCTATTTTCACAGTTTATTAACCATTCTGCATCGCGCTTTCGAGCAAACTGTTTCAGGTAGTACATCTTCCACGGGGCCAACAAGCATAAGCTGTTTTCTGTATAATCATTTGCATATTGCCCTGGAATTTGCATTACTTTCGCCATCTGCACAACATAACCTTGATCCACTTGACGTATAATCAACATTTCTCATCTGTTCAATTTCTCAACTGTATCAACTGCTGTACCATAGCGGCATCTGGACACCACTTCAAGAATTCTGCCATTCATGCCTTATCAACGACGGACATCATCGATTATGTATCTCTTTTTTTTGTTAAATGAAGGAGATTTTTCCGTGTTCTCATTTGTCGACACTCTGTATCGCTCATTCTACCACTTATTATACTTGTTGAGAATCTGTCATTATCTATTAATCTAAAACAAAATTTTACTGCGTCCCATTTAGTATAATTCTTATTTTCATCATCATATATCATTAACTTTAAGTTATCAGTAATTTCAAAAGTGCGGTACGTTACTTTGCGAATCTTCCGTGCCAAATTTCCTCTTAAATTCAATTTGGCGTTCCTCATTATTGTGAGGACCACTTTTGCGCGAACTTTGATTTCCCCACCACACTGTCTATAATAATTTGCTTTTTCTCGGTAGAAGTCACCTTTCCGAGTTTGTCCTAGCTGGTAGGTTGCGCACGCTGCCGCGTCACTTAAACTTGTGCGCGCCACCACGTCACTTGAACTTGTGCGCGCTCCTAGAATACCTGCGATTTGTGTGCGAATTTTCAACTTTAATTGCTGCCTTAACAGCTCACCGGCTAAAGACACACCTCTAGCTAACACCGCCTTGAACATCTTTACCACGCCCACAGGACACTCTCCCTCTATCATTGCACTTGCCAAGAAACGTCTCTCCTCGCCAACGCAATCATCACTGTTGCCGATTACCCAACATCACAAATCTGAGCTGGTTTTTTCGACTCCAGGGTAAACCCTGGTTATGGTGCCATTATCAACTTCATGCACCTCACAAATGAACACCGGTTAGTCACAGACTTCCTTGACTGTACATAGATTGAACGATAATTATACTGCTATGTCTGAGGCACCGGACATAGGTTTTACAGGGAGTTACAACTGAACGCGTAGCATCACGAGAAGGAAGCGCAAATCAACTCTGAACGGTTTGTGAACTCTGGAACAAAACGCAGGAGGAATTTCGTGAACCAGATGCCAAATTTGCGGCGGTTGATAAGCCAGAAATCCTGGTCCATGGTTTGCCTGCTGAATTTCGAGGTTCTCTCTTCCAGGCCGCAACTTCTGTCCTCATCGCGCTTGGTTTTTTGGTGAGCATAACTAGTCCACGATTATTAGGATGAGAGAGTGGAGTCCCTCGATCACTGCTCGCTCTGCTACGCCCTCAATTCATCCGCAACCATCTTTTCTCTTTAGCCTTAGCGCTCGACGAAAGTCGTTCACCTTTCTGCTCGATTCACCATCCTCTCCAGACAGAATAATTAAGTACTCGCCTAGGCTTAAACAGCATACTGCGGAAACAATCTCTGGCTGTGGAGGCAGCTTGCGAGACTTACTGCGATCAATCTACCCTAAGCCCGTTTTTGAGCTCTTGCTCAAGACCAGAAGAGTGTGTGAGGACCTTGTATATGCATGGTCAGTGGTCGAAAACTTGCGGATCTTCTGCCGTGCAAAGCCGCATTCGAAACTCATTCCTATTGTCTCCGAATCCGATTTAAGTAGTCTTTCGAGGCTGGCACCTCACCAACTGATTTGGTAGTTGCATTTGCTATTTCCTACCTATACATAAATATACGTAATTAATTAAACGTTATCTTCTACAAAAAATGTGCATATGTCCTTTTATTTGAAGACACTATAAATATTTCGAAATCGGGATTATGAATGACAGGGTGTGGGTTCCGGCTTTTAGAAAATAGGAATGCATGAGTTCGGGGTTACAGCGTGGCAGGGTAACCAGCTCGAAGGTTAAAGAAATTGAGGTTAAGAGTTTGGGGTTACAGCGGGGCAGTGTAACCAGCTCGAGGGTTGATGAAATTCGGGTATAGGAGTTCAGGGTTAGAGCGTGACAGGCAAACCAGGTCGAAGGTTAAAGAAATTGAAGTTAAGAGTTTGGGGTTAAAACGTGGCAGGGTAACCAGCTCGAGGTTTAAGGAAATTGAGTTCGGGGTGGTAAGGGATCAGGATAACAAATGAATGCTCTGTTCACTCTCCAATAAAGGGGTAGCAGCCCTTGGTGACGGATATGTAAACTTTTGTGTTAGATTTTCAACGGAATTTCATAAACTGCATTTCTTCTGAAAAAATTTTGCAAGAAAACATAGCTTTTCTATCAGGCGACTTAGAGTGTTGCAACCCCTGTAGCTGAAATTTTTTAAAAGAATTTTTTAAAGTTTGTTTTGTCGAAAACTGTGCATAAAATACGAAAATTTCGCTATAAAATGGTGTTGAGGGGTAACTTTCGGGGGTAGCTTTCACCCTCTAAATAGTTTATTCGGCAGAACAAATGTATACATGTGTTTGGCTTTTCTGAGCGTCATAGAACATGGCATAACTAGCATAATCTGCGATTAACAGCTGCTTATATTGTATTAATAACATTAAGAGGTAGTTCACCCTCGAAATAATAGATAATAGGAAAACCCCAAAATACGTAAATTTTGTTTTATCATTTTCTACTAGAATATTATCTTTAAAATTTTTTTAACATAATCTTTTGATTTGGTAAGGTAAAAATACACTAAAAAATACAGTTTTTCCTCTATACAACGTAGGGGTTGCAACCCCCGGGGACCAAATTGATGTGTGTCTGTTAATTTTTTTATAAGTATCTTGTGTTTTTTTTGTTTCAAAAAAAATTATTCATTACAACTAAAGATATTGCTATAGAACTGTTTTTGGGGGTGGGTATCATCCCTTAGATAGCTTTTTCCGCCGATAAAAAAAGTACGGATCTTTTACTTTTTTACGAACTATAACATATTTCAATTACAGAAAAATCGGAGGCGGAG